CTGGACCCAGGTGTTCCTCCTCTTCCTCATCAGCCACCTCCGGACCTGGGGGCTGTTGACTCTCCATCCAAGGGCTGACAGGTGGCCCAGGCTCTGCCTCCGTCTCTCTCTCTCTCTCTCTCCCTCCCTCCCTCCCTCCCTCCCTCCCTCTCTCTCTCTCTCTCCCAGCTCCATTCCTTCTTCCCCCTCGGAGATCCCAGGCTGCCCTGATGCTGACCTTGACTCCCACACCTCCTCCTCTGATTCAGCTGCTGAAGGGGCCACTATACCTCTGTTCACCGGCTGCCGGAGGAGCCCCTCACAAGCTTCCTTCCAGCCCTGCTCCAGCGTGGGTCAGCAGGTGTGTGACGAGAGGAGTGGGTCAGTAGGGAAGGGATTAGGATGAGGGTTCAAGTCCTCCCTCCCTGGGGCTTCAGGCTTGCCATAGTTTCTCTGCCCAACGCACCTCGTAAGATTGTTGCAGGAATCGAAACAGAAGGCAGCCATGGCAGCGGATTGCACACCTGGAGCTCCTGAAGAAAAAGCAGGGTATAGATCAGCAGTTGAGCTGCAAAGGAAAATAATTTGATTGTTTCCTAATTCAATCAACAAAGTAGATTCTAACAGCTGATCTAAGTGATGAGGTGGATGTCACATTTTTGGGGGGAGATTTTAACTCATGCTTTGTGGTTGGAATGGCATAGCCACTTGTGTCCTATTTGACTTTGAAAATCCCTAGTTTTCTTGGCAGTCACTCTAAGTGTCCTGTAAATCCAACGGCAGGTGTGGAATAGAAATGATTATTCCAACACCTGGGGATATTGTGGGGCTTCCTACCTCTCAGGTCCCCACAATTTCAATCCCCCAATGAATGAGAGAGAGCCCACCTCTTGGCCAGATATGCAATGTCACACAATGAGATAGACAAGTGGAATGGGTAGTTTGTGTTTCTGTTGTGGGAACTCAGACGTGATTGGAACAGTTTTTGTTCCAGAAGACTCTCGGATATGGTGTGCTATGTGCACATACCAATAATCCCAAAGGTGCTTTTTCAGGAGGCAATTGGAGTTCCTTGTTTTTCCTTTGAAGACGTTTCGCTTCTCATCCAAGAAGCTTCCTCAGTGCTGACAGGATGGTGGGGAAGGGAAGGATTTACACTCCTTGCAGGCAGCTGGTCATTTGCATCCTTTTAGGGGGTAGTTGAGGCCACCTGGAGGTTTATCTATGTTCCTCTAGTTTGCAATTTTTTCCTCTGGAAATCCGTTCCTCCTCCCATACCATTCCAAGGGTGTCCATCCCAAATTATATAGCTAAAAGTCTGTACAGATTCTCAGTCATCCAGGTCATGCTTGTTCCAAAGGTGCTTTTTCAGGAGGCAATTGGACTTTCTTGTTTGTTCCTTTGAAGATGTTTTGCTTCTCACCCAAGAAGCTTCTTCAGCTCTGACAAGATAGTGGGGAATGGAAAGATTTATATTCCTTGCAGGCAGATGGTCATTTTCATCCTTTTAGAGGGTCTGTCAGCCCTCAAGATTTTCTTCCTTCGCTTTGCATCTTTCGGCTGTCATAAGTAATGGGGGGAGGAGGGGGGACATGGTTATGGGAAGTGAGTTGGAGGTGTTACAAAACAAAACTGTATAAGTTGGTGGGGGGGAAGATTCTTGCTTAGGCTTCTATCCTATGCTATGCGCAGCCGCAACTCTTTATCAAAATAGGTCAAGGTCAATGGACAGAGGCCTCATCACCACCTGGAGATGCCCACATGATGCTATACACAACTTTTAATTGGATGAGCCAATTGAACTATTGGGGGTGGGAACGTTGCCATCACTTTGTATAAGTGATTTACCCGCTCATTTTCTCAGATTCAGAATTCTTTTGTTGCTACCACTTGACCTCCAGTAAAAGATATCTTTTCTCTAATTAATGGAGTCTAAGTATTTCTTTCTTGGATTTTGAATGGAGCACCAGCTGACAGGGTCGTTGAGGCCACCTGGAGGTGCATCTGTATCCTCAGGGTCACCTGAATGGTGCAAATGGCTCCTGTAGCCTGCAATTTTTGTTTCCTCTGGAAATCCATTCCTCCTCCCACACCATTCCAAGGGGGTCCATCCCAAATTGTATAGCTAAAAGTCTGTAGAGATTCTCCGTCACCCAGGTCATGGTTGTCCCTAAGGTGCTTTTTCAAGAGGCAACTGGACTTTTTCCTTTTGGAGACATTTTGTAAATCCAAATTTCCCACTATCTTGTCAGAGCTGAAGAAGCCACTTGGTATCCCAACTGAGTTTGCATCATACCTTTAACCTGGTTATTGAACTGATCCCTTTTCTGGCACGATGCTTCAAAAAACAATCACCAGTCAAACAGCTTTTCCCTTGAGTGAACACAGCTGCCTTCTTCCTGAACAGATTCAGTGAATGGGGGATTGAAGAGCCGAAGAAAGTGGAGACGTCCCCACGCAGAGACGCTCTGGCTGCTTCTGGATAGCTCGTGCCACAGCCTCCCTGTTCTTTTCCTGAGATCCATCAGTGTGGGGGTGCCTCCCCCACAAAAGGAGCCAACGTGGGGGATTGGAAGGACGCCCACAAAGGGCTCATAGCTAGAGAAGCTGGGAACCGCTTCTCTGGTGGCTTCCAGGTCAGGCAGAAAGGATTCTGTGCCCCAAAGAGTGCCAGGATTTCATTCTCCATCCACTGTTGGAATGGAGGTCATGTTCTCACACCCACTGCTGCTCAGTGCACAATCCACGCCGCCACCTCTGTTCGAAGAGAAAAGAACGCATTGCTTTCCTGTGGCAGCCCGTTTCCCTGGCCAAAGACTTCCTGAGGTCCAGCTAAACCTCCCACCTGCCCAGGCTCAAGTTGGGGGGCTTGTCTTTCATCCCCTTGACCGCCAAGGCGAGGGTGACTTTGCTCTCCTCCCAGCTGTGGTCCTGCAGTAGCTGTGCTGGGCTGGGAGATGGCACCAAAGCTCACCAATCTTTCCTGAAGCATCAAGTCAGCCTTGCCTTACAGAAGCTGCTCCGCGAGGATGATTCTTAAGCAGCCTTCATCAAACCGGCTTATCTTGGTTAAGGAATGAAAGAGGTCAGTTGGTCTGCAAAGTACCTTGAGCCAAACCCAGAATTATCAAGCCACGGAAAGCATCATCATCAAGCACCATCAAAGTTAAAAGCAAGCGTGTATGAATTCGGTCACCAGACCTTTATCTTGAAGCACAAGGGTGGACATCTGCCAAGAAGATCATCTGAACTAATTTCTTAAGGATGGGAGGGAATATTTCTACAACGCCTAGTTCTTTTGAGAAATTCGAACGGAATCTCTGATCCTCGACAACTGCTGTGTTTGCAGCAACTCAGGGGTCCTTTAGATGTTCAGGTTATAGAACTTAAGCCAGAAATGTTCCTATTAGGGATAATCAGAGGCGATCACAAGAAAGAAATTGAATATATACATATTGACATCAGCTAGAATAACCTATGCTCAAAACTGAAAACCAGAAAGTAGTCCCACAGATAATATGTTAATTAAAAAAAGTATGGATTGTGTGGAAATGAATAAACTTACAATGGAATTGCAGGAGAAGAAAGAAAAATAATACTGTGTAGTCTGGGAGAAATGGTATGTTTGGTTAGATAACAGGAACAAAAGATAATCCAAAATGTAAATGTAATTGATGTACATAAGTATATACATATAAGTAAACGAATATGGAAAAGCCAATGCAAAAATTGTAAATATGATCTGTTTTTAAAACTGTAACATTTTAATAAAATGAAGTTTAAAAAAGATGTTCAGGTTTTGTGGTCAGTGATGTTGATACGAATCCTTCCCCAGCGTTGTGGGTGGATTGTGGATTGTTTCTTTGATTCTTGGAATAACAGGGAGGGGATCCGAAGGTGCTTTTTCAAGAGGCAACTGGACTTTCTGGTTACCCAAAAAAGCCCCTTCGGGACAACCATGACCCGAAATGACTGAGCATCTCCGTAGACAAACAGGGAGGGAGTGGGGGGAGTTTCTCCCAGCCTCACCTGTCAGGGCCCCAGTGATGGGAACCTCGTCAAGGGTCCTGGGATTGAATCCTGAGGCAGAAGAAAAGGTGGCGATCATTTTGGGAGGAGGAACCCCAGTCATGAATAACAAGGGCCGGATTCTCTCCTCAGGCAAACAGCCAACCGGTGGCCAGCAGCGGGAGGCTTCGCAGGGCAACCCGGCCTGGCGCTGGACCTTTTCCCCGGCAGGAGACCTCCTCCCTCAGGCCCCCCCCTCCCTCAGGCCCCCCCCCGGCCTCTCCGCAGGCCCGCTCGCTAAGGAGGCGGAGGGGGAAGAGAGGCTGCCTGAGGGGCCACCGGCAGAAAGGCGCGGAGGGCAGAGGCCGCACCTGGCGGCGCCCCTCAAGGCCGAGCCCGGCGTTGGTGCGGCGGTTGGGCGCAGGAGAAGCCGGGCGGCGGCGCTGGGAGAGTGGCGGGCCTGAGGCGGCCGACGGGGGTCCCGGCTGCGGCTGGGCCGGGGCCTCGCGGGCCGGCTCGGGCCCCTGCCCGCCTCGCCCGCCAGAGGGCAGCAAGGAAGCGCGCGAGGCGGCGGGGGCTCCGGCTGGCCTGACATCAGCAGCCGCGCAGCTGGCTGGCCGCCCCGGCTGGGCTCCGCCTCTCAGTCCCGCGCGCGCTGCCGGCGGGTCGGCGGGGATATCGGGGCGGAGCGGGCGGGCGGAGCGGGCGGGGCCGCCGGCTGCCAGATCGCCCATTCCGCTCGGCGCAGCGTTCCCAGCCTCGGGAGCTCCGGGGGGGCGGCGGCGGCGGCGGGGAGGCGCGCCGGCGGCGGGCCCGGGGAGGCGAGCGGACGGCCATGGGCCAGCAACGGCGGAGCGGCGCTCCGGGCGACCGGCGGGGCGCAGCGTCCGGCCCCGCGGGGCGCAGGCAGCCCGGCTGGGAATGAAGGCGGCGGCGGCGGCGGCGGCGGGCGGAGCGCCCCAGCGGCGGCGGCGGCGGCGGCGAGGAAGGGGCGGGCGCGCCCTGCCGGGACCATGTCGGTGCCGCTGCTGAAGATCGGCGTGGTGCTGAGCACGATGGCCATGATCACCAACTGGATGTCGCAGACGCTGCCCTCGCTCGTGGGGCTCAACACCACCAAGCTCAGCGCCGCCTCGGGGGGCACCTTGGACCGCAGCACCGGCGTGAGTCACGCGCCGCTCCGGGGGAAAGGGGGGAGTCGCGGCCGGCCCTCCGCAGCCATCCGTCAAGGGCCGCCGGACGGAACCGGCGCAGACCCCCGCGCGGGGCGGGCGGGCGAGGTCCGCGCCGGGAGCGGCGATGCGGGGAAGACGCCGGCCGGGAGGGGAGCCGTTTCGGGCGGGGAGGGGAGTGGGGCCCGCGGCCGCAAAGTTTGAGCGCGGGTCGCGTCCTCCGGTCGCCGGACACCCAGGCTG